TTTTGCTGGAGTGGTGTTGTAGCAGTCCTATAAGAGTGTGCAGTGAGTCGCATCCTTACTTTTGGACCGGAACTTTGGGCTTACGACTTTTCTTGCAGATTTTGGACATAGGCTATGGGTTAGCTTATGGTTTAAACTTATCTTTTGTACTAGTTGACCTATCTTCTTTCCTGAGCCTTGTATTTATTAATAGGACTTAATATTTAGTTCAAAAAACAATTAATCTTTGGGTTTAATTTAGTTTTCTATTTGCTTTCTAGCTCTTGTTATCCGGTTTTCTATCCAAGGAGCCGAATTGTTATTGTTCATTGCTATATTATACTCATTTTCAGGTTTAATCTAAGTTCAAATATTTGGAATTTATCTCCTTCTTGGTTACTTTCGATTCTCAAAAGCTTTCTATATTCCGTTCTAAATCGAAATTAATCGATCATTACTGCAATACATTGGATTTCGTCTTTTGTGGCTCACGATTAATTCCCTTAGCTAAAAATACGTTTTCCAAGTGTTTACAAGTAGTTTCTCACTTTTAGTGACGAAACTCGTTTTGCATGTTTCGTGATTTGGCCTGCAAGTTTCAAGTTATTTACTTTCTTGCAAGTACTTAGTTGTCTTTACTTTATGTCATTTGATTTATAGTATTTTACATTTTCTTGCACTTTACTTCTCTGCAATTTAATTTCCAGTATTTTACTTTCTAGTACTTAAATTTCGAGTATTTTAATTACTGTAATTTACTTTTCTGCAATTTATCTTTCAGTCATTTATAAATTTGCACTATAATTTACAGTCATTTATAAATTTGCACTATAATTTACACTCATTTACATATTTACAATTTATTCTATGCAATTTACTTTTTCGTATCTGTATTTTACTTTTCAATCTTTACATCATTCGCAAGAAAAAACCGAGCGATGATGGGCTAATCGTCTTAGCGTGGGGTGTAAGAGAAAGACCAAAGCTGACGTAAAAATACAAAGATGTCTTATTAGCATTATTGCATAACTATTTGTTTCTGGTGATTAATATTGTTGAAGATTACATTGAATTAATTGACAACTAATTTTATGTATGAAAATGCATTAACTTTCTGAGTTAAGATAAATAAGGAAACCTGAGTTAGTAGGAGAAGGCTATAAAGAGCTTTAGTATCTAATATCCTACGGTGTAGGATGGTAACACTGTGTTGTGTTAGGATTCACGACGTCTAACATAAATGATATTGTATCGATAGCACGTTGGCATGTGTGTACTCTTAAGAGGTCGTCTGACCCGATAGTTGATACTATGACAATATTATAGAACCATTATGTGGTATTATAGGACTATTGCAGAAGTGATATGTCAACTTTCTATTGGATCACTTGTTCTATGTCTTAATCAATCTTTGCACCTATTTGCTTCTTTTTATGACTGATATTTTCTTAGTTGTTCATCAAACCACCTAATTTTAGATAAAACAAATCCCTGGAATTCGCCATCTGAATTTAGTTTTTAAAGACCAGACTTTTGAAGAACTTTACAAGCTTTTTTATGTTGGAACGATATTTGTTACTTAATGTACTTGTTAACAATATGATAGTAGTTCAAGGTGTATACTTGCACTGAGTTCTATTTTTGTGTTAAAATCTAAGGTTGCATAAACCAAACAAACAGTACTATGATTGATAATGACTCTAAACAACGATTTATCCTTCAAATAACTAACATAAACTTTTGTTCCATATTACGGTGTCCAAAACAATTGATTATATTAAATTACGACGCCTTTGTAACACTTATCTATATTATATTATAAAGCATTTGACAAATACTCTTAAAACCCATTTTTTATGCATGAAGTACTGTTTATTGATGCATATTACTTAAAATTCGAAGTTACAAGTAAATTGTGCGTAATTACAACTTATTAAAGTTTCATGTTTGAATTCGTGTAACTAACTGCAGATAAACATGATCAAGTACATGATAAACATCTCATTTTAAATATGAAAAATCTAAAATATAATTAAGATAATCATTAAGTTACACTTATAACATAATACTTGATTATTATCCTTATAAAAATTATGTTATTAAATCAAAAATAAATTAGTTCGTTATTAAACATAAATTAAATAATAATAATAATTTTGAATTAAAGAGGCTACATACAGAACGAGAATTTTTAAATAGTTAATTTGATACTTATATTTATATATTTTTTTCATATTTTTATGAATATAAACATTATCGCTTTCTCAAAATCACATAAAACCGTGTTACATCGATAGAGACAAAAAATAAAACAAAACATTATCTCGATGTATCTCGCTGCATTGCACGAGTATTCTTCTAGTTAACTATTAAAAGATAATTTAATAAGAACCTTCAAGAATTAATTAATTAAATTAAATAATTTTTCTAAGATAAAAATAAAATAATGCACTAACTAAATTGGTACTTAAATTAATATATTAATTATTTACAAATCAATTTACTTAATTAATAGAACCTTAATAACTCAATCTACTATTAATTCAATTGATTAAATTAAAATCCAACACATATTTACCCAATAAAATTCATCAAACTAATTTATACTATATTATAAAACATTTGACAAAAACTCTCAAACTAATTCATAAAGTATTGTTTATTGATGCATATTACTTAAAATTCAAGATCACAAGTAGAATGTGCATGAATACATTTTATTAAAAATATATATTTGAATTCGTATAACTAACTGCAGATAAATATAATCAAATACATGATAAACATTATTTTAAATATAAAAAATCTAAAATATAATTAAGATAAAATTAAGTTTTAACAGAATACTTAATTATTATCTTAAATATCTATATCTATACTATATTATAAAGCATTTGACAAAAACTCTTAAAAATCATTTTTCATAAAATATTGTTTATTGATGCATATTACTTAAAATTCAATATTACAAGTAAATTATGTGCAAATACAACTTATTAAAGCTTCATGTTTGTCGTGTAATCAACTTCAGATAAACATAATCAAATAGAGGATAAACATTTCATTTTATATAAAAAACTAAAATATAATTATTAAGTTCTAACAAAATACTTAATTATTATAAAAATTATATGATTAAACCAAAAAAAAAAATGAATTAAAAAAATACAAAAAAGGAGAAATTTTAAATGATACTTATATCAATATTTTTTTTATTTTTTATAATATTTTCATATTTATATTTTATTCAAAAATAAAAACAGTATTGTTTTCTCAAACCCATATAAAACCGTACTATAATATCGATTAAGACAAAAAAAAATACTAAAATCGAGATGTATCTCGCTGCATTATGCGAGTACCCTTCTAATCATCTAAAATATCAAACTTTTAAACCTAAAATTGTATTTGATCTGATTGAAGTTAAAAAAAAACTAAAATTACATGGACGCAAATGTTAAGTCCAACAACTAGACATAACCTATAGAGATCAGCCTAGAAACATAGCCCTACTGGTTCCATGTCGTTGTCCAGTCATTTTCGAGCGACACTTGCACCCTCTCACTCACCGTCTGTCCATTTTTAAGGTTTTTGGACTCATTTTCCATCGTTGTCATTGTAAAAACTCTAAAAAATTAATTTTTTAATCATAGAAACAAGAATCATCAAGTATTGAGTCTCATTTTCTCATTCAAAGTTTCATATTTATTTATTTACCCAATTTTAGGGTGTCACAGTAAACGCCAAAGATAATATATAAAACACGAATAAAATGTCATTTCACACAAGATTGAGGGTAAGAATCAAGGTTGTACAAGAACTCCAAAAATGTGGTTGACTTAGGAGTCATTTACTAAACATTTATCCGGTAAATGTTTATCTCAAAGCTTTACCTTATCGAATTAACATGACAATGATTGAAAATATTACCCGGTAAGAACAATAACAAGAAGCAAGAGTCTTACGCGGTAAATGAAAGTAGCTACTATTACCTGGTAAGCTTATCAAATAAGAATGTTCCATGTGATGTCTTTTTTATGGACTAAAATTTTACTCGATAAGTTAAATGAAAGTGTTTACAATTACCTGTAAGCTGGCATCGGTAAACAGCCTCTTAATTCATCTCCACTAGATTATACCAAATGGAAATCTTGGGAATTTTTGCTTCAATAGGTTTTCCGATACCTTCTACAAAATGGAGAAAGTAGGAAGAAAGTGAAAATTTCTCTACATTTAAAGACTTTATAAAAAGTGATTACTTGGAATAGAGAAATTATTTTTTTTATTTTTACCAATAAAAAAAATTTAAAATTAAATATTTAAAAGAGATAAATAATATTTTAATAATATAATTAATATTGTAATTTATAAAATGAAAACGTTGTTGGATTAGAAAATAAATTTTATTTTAGTTTGGAATTGCTTATTAACTTATGTCAACGTGGTATTAGCAATAAATAATTTTTAGTGTTTAGATCAGAAAAAAAAAAAAAGAACTATTGTTTCGGTTTGGCATCGATGATAATGAGTTTTTGATAAGTTATTCATTTCTAATTTATTAACTTATTCCAATATGCTACCACTAATAATGAGTTTTTAGTGTTTGGACGGAGAAAAAAAAAATACTTATCAGTTTATTACGTTTTGATACAACCATAAATAAATCCAAACGATTTTTATAAAAACCCTATTTAACACTAGAGAAGTTGAAAAGCATGTCGTTTTAAATTCGCAATCCCAAAATTATAAGGGGGTGTTTGGGATTGCTTATTTGAAACAATTTATGTTTTTATACAAAAGCAATTATCAACTTATTATAAGTTAGAAGAGTTTAACTTCTTGAAAAAAAATTATTACCGGTATAAATTATTTATCCAAACACTAAAAAATGTTTATTACCGGTATCACACTAGAATAGTCAATAAGTTGTTTTTATAAACAATTCTAAACACCACCTAAAACGGGTAGGGGTAGTTTCGGCAATATATAAGAAAAATATTTGTAACTATACAGTTGGATTTCAAATAACCAACACCAGGAGTTGGAAGAAAAGCAGTCGGTGGGAAAATACGAAATGACGGCGACGACTTTGAACGCTGTGATGAACGGTGGTTTAGGTGGTGGTGGTGGGGCCGTCGCCCAAAGGACGGTGCTGATAACAGGGGTTAGCAGAGGTCTTGGGAAAGCCCTAGCCCTAGAATTGGGGAAGAGAGGCCATTCTGTCATTGGCTGCTCTCGAACTCAAGACAAACTCGATTCTCTCCAATTGGAGCTTTCTTCTGGACCTTCATCTTCTTCTTCTTCCTCTTCCTCTGAAAAACACCTCTTCATGAATGTTGACGTGGTTAGTGGTCCCTGTTTATCTTATCTCTACTCCTATGGATGTGCATTTTTACATGAGCACTCAGGGAAGAAATCTATGAATTCATTATGATTTTCTCGTGTTTATACGTGAAGTCGCTTATTTTTTAACAATTGATTTCAGTGTTTAAGGTGCGGTACCTCTTTACTGGCTCTAATTAAATCTGTAAAGTTTTTTCTTTTATGGGGAATTATGTCCTCATTTGCAATTCAATCCCAGAAGCAGCTGTAGGAATCAGTGAAAATAATTCCCATTTCAAGAATAGTTTGAGTAAAAACTTGAGGGTTTATTTTGTTTGGTAATAGATTTTCAATTTGAGATAATGAAACTTCATGAAGTCGACTCTGATTTAGGGAAGAAACTGGAAGGAAGTGATACCCACTGGGCTTAGATTTTTGTTAGATGCTGATGAATTATCTTTTTCTGTCTTTCCAGTGTTCAAATAGCAGTGTTCAGGAGTTGGCACGAGTTGTAATGGAAAAGAAGGGTGTTCCAGATATCATTGGTAATGGAATCTTTAAACACCCTTGTTCCTGTTGCCACTTGAAATCTGATTACCAGCTCCACTGTAGGATGCTGTACTTGGATGTATTTGACGTACGTTTAAAACCCAAAATTGGCTTGTAATACAATACATCTTTAACTCTTAACATTCACATTTTGCATCTTACCCTGTAAAGTATAAGCAAATTAGAGTCTGTTAAAGTGAGTACTCATTCGTACCTTGTCACACCTTCTGTTTATCTGATTCTGTCATTCTTTTTGGTCAAATACCATTAACATCTTGTTCGCTTTTCTATCTTTGGCACTCATGCCCTGCATATTTTTCCTTGTACAGATACAGATAGCAATGTTTAAACAACCTATATTGATGACTTGTGGTAAAAACAGATCGTCAATAATGCACGTTCTGATGCACTGGGAACAATCACATTTTACATGAAGCGGACAGATGATTTAATAAAGTAATAAACATTATTAGAGACCTTGCTATGTGTCCAAACTTTGAAAGGCTATGGCTTGCGTTTTCAGATTCTAATAGTGTCCCCCATAAGTGCGGCTTTGTAATAGATAGAAGATATGTTGTCATTAGTTAGTTCATTGGTTTTTAAGGTCTAAAATTTATGTAACCAAGTATGGGAAGTTATACCTATACATGACATGATGCATGAGCGGAATAGCAAGTATTCTCTATAATATTTGAAAGCAAGGAGATCTGCCAAATAAGCTACGGTTTGTATCGTTCTTTTATGCTTGATGTCTAGATATTGTTATATGTATTATGGACCGAGATTGATTGTAGTATTATTCAGTTGATCTTTATGATTGTGTTGTAGCGGAATGTTCCTTGTGGTGCATTATTTGTTCTACTGTTGTGCCTTTTGTTTTATCAAGTGGAAATCTACTTATAGAACCATATCTTCAGTAAATAATGCAGGTACGATAAACAAAAACAACAGACTATGGGAGGTTCCAGAGGAGGAATTTAATGCTGTCATAGATACTAATCTCAAGGGAATAGCAAATATGTTACGCCACTTCATTCCCCTTATGATTGAGAAAAAGCAAGGGATTCTTGTCAATATGTCGTCTGGGTGGGGAAGGTCTGCTGCAGCACAGGTAAAAGTTCTAAATTACAAAACAAGAAGTTAAGTGATTTACATTGGACAGCTGGTCATAGCTTAATTACTTTCTGAATTTCAATCCTGAAACCAAAGTGCATATTGCCGATGTATCAGATGACCAATATAAAGAGGTCACACACCCTATGTCTAACTTACTAATCGTATCTCCCACCCTCTACCTCTCCAGCTGCCTACATACCGTCAACTGTAGCTACGTGTCCCTACCCTAGTTTGCTACCCTAATCCTACGTCTCCAAGAGCTCCTATCAGAGATCATGTCCTCGGAAATACCTAAAGTCCACCATGTCTAACCTCAGTTGCTCATCCCACGTCCCCCCCCCCTTAATCGTCACACTTTCTATCTTTCTTACTTGAACCACCATCTGTCTCCTACGACGTGGTCAAAGCACCATAATCATCCCTCTGTCAACTTATCCATGATAGGTGCCACTCCCAACACTGTCCGGAAGACCTCGTTCTGTATCCTTTCAAACATGGTTCTTCCACAGGTCCATCTAAGCATCCTCATTTCTGCAACTGTATAAAGATTCATCAACTATATAAAGCAAATGTGAAGATACCTGCACTAGTCTTGTTTCTTGATCTTTATATCACCCAGCAAAAGTAGATGTGGATTGAAAGGAGCAATATGTTTAAGACTGCTGCATATCACATATAAATCCATGTTGTCATGACGTGGTTTGTGATTTTGTAAAATGGCAACAGGTGGCCCCTTATTGTGCTTCAAAATGGGCAGTTGAAGGCTTGACCAAGTCAGTGGCAAAGGAGTTGCCGAGTGGAATGGCAATTGTTGCACTTAATCCGGGGGTGATAAACACCGAAATGCTTGCATCATGCTTTGGCAGTTCATCCAGTCTGTACCAGCCACCTGAGTCGTGGTACTTATCTTCTTTATCTTCCTTGCATACGTGTGCTATCATGTTTAGATTTGTAACCAATTACTACGGCAGTCTTTCAATTTTCTGTACCAATCGCATTCTATAAGCCATAGACCTTGGGTACAACCGTACAAATAAAGTGCGAGCCTAGGATGTAAAGGAGGAAATATGCCCCAAAAATTTTAACCCCAAAATTGTTGGTGGTTTTAGTGAAATCTGTTTATTTTATGTAATTGGATTCACAAGAGAATATGGGGTTGTTACTTGTTAGCTAAGCTTGCAGTAAATTGGTACCAGAAACATTATGATCCTATTTTGAGTTTGGTGCCTAAATAAATGCAACCATTCCTTCTGGTTAATATACCGTTCATTCCTGTACTGTATTGGCATACACCATTTGTATTCTTTCTAACCATCTCATTCTGACCCCCATACTAGGGGGAAATTGCAAACCCTCCCCATGGCACATGGTAAAGGCAGTCATACAAGCATGAATTAGCCATTTCTAAGAAATTTTCATATATCTGCCTGAGCAGAAAAAGCAGATCGTTTTCTGCTAAAAGGAAGTAGATGATAAGAAGGCTCTTCAAAAAGTGCTAGATTTATTCAAAAGACTTGAAATGTATTAAATACGTAAAAGGACTTCCTCCCCCAACCTTGGAATTTGCACCGAGCTCACCCTCTATAGACACATTAAAAGCTATCTCCCTTTCCTGATCTTATTAACTTGTACTATTCTCTTTACTTATTCATTAATTGAGTACATGAAATTCCTATCACCAGGAAAGCAAAGTTCAGAATTTTCGAAGTCCATATTAGAATAATCAAACAGTAGTATCAAGTATAAAATAACAAGGGTGCCATGCCATGAATATTGGAAATCAGGAAAACTGTGAGCCCCCTTTACATACTGAGAGCAATAATTGATCCTACATAAACTATATTCAACATTCTTTTTTGTGGGTTTGTTAAAAATCATGGTCAAATATATTAAACAGTTGTACAACCACATACCCTACTAGTTTTCTTCAAGATCATTCCAATCTATCATACTTGCATCTTGAAAATGCATAAACAGAAACAATTGATGCTGTATTTACACAAATCAGAATTTGTTGATTATGTGATCTGTTTGTTTACCTCTTCAGGGCTCCCAAGGCAGCTGATATGATCTTAAATCTGACAATGGCGGACAATGGTGCATCTCTTTCGGTATAAATATATATACGTGAATATATTGCAATGATTGTAGGAGGAGGAGAAGTAAACAAACAAACATAAAAGTTGCTAAAGAGCAATGTAAGAGGCTGTATGTCTATTTATCATGATATATGGTGGAGTTTAAGTAGCTGTGGGAGTCTTGATCTGTTTTCATTATTCATTTATCTAAGTTGTCTTGGGAGTGGGATTTAACTATTTGATGGAGTTTGGATTGGGACACAAGTATATAGATAATGTAGACTCAGTTGACTTGTGTTGATCTTGTTATGATTCTGGTATTTGAGAGTTTCTACAGATAACATCCTCAGTTGTGTCTACTTTTGCCCCAGAATACTAATTTTTAGTTTTTGTAATTTGGATTTTGATCAAAATTTGGCCAAATGCATCTGGTTTAACTTTTATGTGTTGTACCCCTACTAAACTCGGTTAGAATGAGCAAGAGCTTGTGTTAAAATCCTCAAGGGGCCGATTTCCAAGTATTCTTATTTGCAGTTTGCTGCACACTATATAGATTGAAAACCCAACGTATCTAGTATATCCCACCAAGAGGTAGGATATGGAAAGGGGGATATGGAAAGGGGTAGAGAGGCTGCTTCCATGAAGGCCTAAGTTTAGCGTACAACATCGGGCCCATCTATCATAGGTGTATGGCCACCCAATAGAATTTGCCTTTTAAGTTTTATCAATGCCTTTTTGTTGCATTGGTACATAACCCCGTACCTTAACCACCCAGCCTTTATCTGATATATCATCCTCAACCTCTCCCTCCTTGTAACTCATAGAGAGTAAATATTTGAAACTATCCTTTTGTGGCACTAGTTGATCCTTGGGGTAGGTTTCGGTGAGAATGAAGTTATGGTGAGAAGGGTAAGAACGGATCTCCATCTTGGATTAATCCTAATTGAAGAGAACTAATCATGTATAAAATCAAGTCGTGTGATATTTAATAAGGGATAATTATGAAAATTGTGTAATTATTGATCGACTATGTTGTCCTGTTACAACTAATTTAATTATCTTTTGAAAATACATTTAAGGGATTAGTGGTTAATATTGCATCTCACAAAATATAGAATTCTTCCATGAATAACCCCTTGTTTCACATATCTTTTCACACACACACAGAGAGAGAGAGAGAGAGAGAGAGAG